AATTTTAGTTTAACGAGCCAATTTCGAGCCGAACACGAACACGAATATTTAAATCGAGCCGAACACGAACACACTGTTCACGAGCCGATTTCGAACACGAGCCGATTTCGAACACGAGCTGATTTCGAACACGAGCTATTTCGAACGAGCCGAACACGAGCCAAGCCTGAGCTCGCTCAAGCTCGACTCGTTTACAGCCCTACTTATATTGCATCAAAATTATCATTATGTATATATACAACTCTCAAAATGATTTGGTGTAAGAAATCTATGATAAAAAGATCGATTACAATTTGTGTGTTATGCATGTGAGAATGAAGTTCAGATAAGTTTGGAAACGAAATAAGCCTACAAAATGAGCTTACATGTTGCAATAAATTTATCTTCTATTTACCTTATTTTTATACTTTTTATGTCTATTAATTTTATTGAGATAACTGTGGAGCAGCTTGAATGACCACAGAACTTTGTTGCTGACAGTTATTGCTTCCACATTTTGGTAAGTTGAGTTTTTTTATTTCCTTTAGTTTTGACTGATTTACTCTTTTTTTTAATAATTGCAGGACGATGAGCTTCAGATATTTAAGAAAGTTCGGGCAAGTGATGTGTCGTCGCGGGTCACCGTCCTTGTTACTCACATCACGCCAACCACATAGCTACGACCGACAATTCTACAGGCGCTCTCGGTGGGCACACAGACCAGAGGACTGCAAATTTTTCAGGTGGGCCGACAGTACAACAATTTCTATGATATTCCAACTGGACATCACTGCTCGGAGTTCTACAGTATCATAATGGGAGAACACCACATGTGGTTCGAGTGCTTTCGTTTCTACAATATCCCAGTCGGACAGGTTTGCTCGAGGTTCTGAAGTATAAGAACTGGGCAACATTTGTCTTGATATGCTTTTATATTTTAAATTCTATATTGTCATTTTTTTTCTTGTAATTTTAACATGTTATTTTTTTCTTTTTTTGTCTCATTATACTCTATATTAGTGTGTGAACGTGTACTTCACTTTCGTATGTATCACTGTGTTTATTTGATGTAATTTGAACTTTTTGAGTTATGTAAATGTAATTCAACTCTTTTGCATTTTCATATATTTACATTTGAGAAAATAACAAACTCTACATGACAGATCATTCATTCAACTAAAAAATCTGTAAATAAGTTGTTTATAAAACGCACAAACCAAACAGTTAACAACTTATCCAGAACAGAGGCAGAATGATCATTTATCCAGAATCAGTTGTTTTCCAATCGAACAAACCAAACAACCAGCCAGCTTATCTGGATCAGCTGCTCATCAGCAGATTATCAAGACCGGATAAGTTGTTTATCAGCAGAAGATGGATAAGTTGCAGCTGTCCCAAAAAGAATAGCTCAAAATATTTTAGCATAATTTTCATCAAACTAAAATAAAAATATGTCACTTAATTTTCTCATTGATCTTAAATTTCACAATTTTAATTCATAGATAAATTAAAAATAATACATTTATATATAAATAATACATTCAAATGACAATACTCTTATCAATTTACATATCAAATATTTAAACTTTCACATTTCCATTTTGATATCATAAATAAATACAAAAAATACATTTCACTTTTAAAAACAAATAGTAATGACAATTTCTTACATGATTGTAAAAGTTTTACTATTATGCATATAAATATAAAACTTTTAGTATTAAATATGTAAATAAATGAAAATTTTGTAGTATATATGTACCTAGTTGTGCATTATATATGTTTTATTATTTAATCCAAAGATAAATTTTAAAATAATACATATATCTACATGACATCTATGACTAAACAATAGACTCCTAAACATTTGCATACAATCAATACAAAAAATATCATGCTTAAAGGAGAATCTACAACACACATTCCACCCAACTCCTTTAACTTAATATATTGATTTCTAAAATTAAACTCCTACTCATTACATAGAACAAATTCACCTTAACTTTTTTTACCCTAACATCCCTCATCAAATAAATGCTCCTTCCATTGTAGCTTTCATACCAAGTACAGCTCAACAACCAAAGCGCCGACTCGTCACCGTCAAGCTTATAACAGACAAAGCCCATCACGTGAGCCTCCAGGCCTAACTCTGCCACCTGAGGCTGCTTCCATCCATTCCCCCCAATCGGGTAACTCAAACCCGATCCATAAACGAATCCAGGTTCGACCCGATAAAGATCCATTTAATTATAATGAACATGACTAGTTACATCAAGCATGTCTGGTTCCCACCGGTACATTCCATATGCGCATCAGGAATTCCGTGGCGGCGTGTGAACCCAATATTAATGCTGCCATTAATTGGGTTTGGAAAACGGGTTTGATGGGCAGCGGATCCGAATCCGTCGGGCCCGCTATTTGTCTGGTTGTGAGAGGGGACGGCGGTGAGATTACAGCGGGGGGATGGCGGGCCCCGCATGGCTGTATCTTGGGTGCGGAGCCCGGAGGAGGGAGGGAGCGCTATGCATGTCGGCCTCGGGAAGGCAAGGTTTTATCGGCCATTTGTAAGGAGCGGGTCGGATGTGACGGAATGGTGACGGCGTCACGGGGAGCTACCGTCTCTGGCGGAGGTGGGATTAATATTTTAATTTTATAAAATGAATAAATAATAAGAAGAGTTCGAATCTGCCTGAACAAGGATTAATATTTTAATTTTATAAAATGATCATACATATAAATAATAAGAAGAGTTCGAATCTGCCTGAACA